AAAACCCCTGGCTGTCTTCAAGACCCCTGGCTATCTTCAAGACTCCTAGCTGTCTTTAAGACTCCTGGCTGTCTTCAAGACCCTTGGCTATCTTCAAGACTCCTGGCTGTCTTCAAGACCCCTGGCTATCTTCAGGATTCCTGGCTGTCTTCAATACTCATGGCTATCTTCAAGACTCCTGGCTGTCTTCAAGACTCCTGGCTGCCTTCAAGACCCCTGGCTGTCTTCAAGACCCCTGGCTGTTTCAAACCCCCTGGCTTTCTTCAAGACCCCTGACTATCTTCAAGACTCCTGGCTGTCTTCAAGACTCCTGGCTGTCTTCAAGGCTCCTGGCTGTCTTCAAAACTCCTGGCTGTCTTCAAGACTCCTGGCTGTCTTCAAAACCTCTGGCTGTCTTCAAAACCCCTGGCTGTCTTCAAAACCCCTGGCTGTCTTCAAGACTCCTGGCTGTCTTCAAGACTCCAGGCTGTCTTCAAAACCCCTGGCTGTCTTCAAAGCCCCTGGCTGTCTTCAAAGCCCCTGGCTGTCTTCAAGACTCCTGGCTGTCTTCAAGACTCCTGGCTGTCTTCAAAACCCCTGGCTGTCTTCAAGACTCCTGGCTGTCTTCAAAACCCCTGGATATCTTGAAGATTCCTGGCTGTCTTCAAAACCCCTGGCTGTCTTCAAAGCCCCTGGCTGTCTTCAAAGCCCCTGGCTCTCTTCAAGACTCCTGGCTGTCTTCAAGACTCCTGGCTGTCTTCAAAACCCCTGGCTGTCTTCAAAACCCCTGGCTGTCTTCAAAACCCCTGGCTGTCTTCAAGACTCCTGGCTGTCTTCAAAACCCCTGGCTGTCTTCAAAGCCCCTGGCTGTCTTCAAAACCCCTGGCTGTCTTCAAGACTCCTGGCTGTCTTCAAAACCCCTGGCTGTCTTCAAGACTCCTGGCTGTCTTCAAAACCCCTGGCTGTCTTCAAAACCCCTGGCTGTCTTCAAGACTCCTGGCTGTCTTCAAAACCCCTGGCTGTCTTCAAGACTCCTGGCTGTCTTCAAAACCCTGGCTGTCTTCAAGACCCCTGGCTGTCTTCATAGGGAATGGGACAAAATTTAAAGTCGTACCGGGACGAACTGGCAGTAACAGCCTGGTTGATCAGGTTCTGATTCACTACGGGGCCTGGTCACGGACCGGGCCGGGGGGGGGGCCGTTGACCCCCATAACATTCTCCAGATATATTCCAGGTATATTGACCTCTAGTAAGCTCTAGTGACCTGTCCTGACCTCAACAAAACCCCAAACCCCCGTGTAGTTTGATAGACTTCAAACTTCACCAGCTAAAATATGTCACCATAAAATATATAACTTTGATATTTTTTTCAATAATTAGATCTTAAACAAATGTTAATATATCTTATCAACGTGTATGACCCTTTCCCCCCTTTCTTGTTTTAGCGCTTCCCGTATGTGTAATATAAAGTTTTCTCTAATTCTCACTATCTTCTCTCTTTTCTCTCTCTCTCTCTCTGCCATGACAGAAAACGGAGAGTGATGTAAATATGCATGGTCAACTAATTATTATTATTTTTTTATTATTTTTTTTTATTATTTTTATTATTATTATTTAAATTTTTATTATTTTATTATTATTATTAGTGGGTGTTGCGTCTTCCTTCTGTTAGTTCTTTAAACTTTCTACTGCTATTAAAAATGCCCCTATTTGCTATTTAAACTCCCTATTTGCTATTTAAAAATGTCCCCATTTGCTATTAAAACTTCCTATTTGCTATTAAACTGTCCCTATTTGCTATTAAATGTCCCTATTTGCTATTAAATGTTCCTATTTGCTATTAAACTGTCCCTATTTGCTATTAAAAAATGTCCCTATTTGCTATTAAACTGTCCCTATTGCTATTAAATGCCTCTATTTGCTATTTAAACTGTCCCTATTTGCTATTAAACTGTTCCTTTTTGCTATTAAACTGCCCTATTTACTACTAAACTCTCCCTATTTGCTATTTAAACTGTTTCTATTTGCTATTAAACTGCCCCTATTTGCTATTAAACTGTCCCTATTTGCTATTAAACTGTCCCTATTTGCTATTAAACTGTTCCTATTTGCTATTAAACTGTCCTATTTGCTATTTCCTGTTCCTATTTGCTATTAAACTGCCCCTATTTGCTTTAAACTGTCCTATTTACTACTAAACTGTCCCTATTTGCTATTAAAATGTTCCTTTTGTATTAAACTGTCCCTATTCCTATTAAACTGTCCCCATTTGCTATTAACTGTCCCTTTTGCTATTAAACTGTCCCCCATTTGCTATTAAAATGTTCCTATTTGCTATTAAACTGTCCCTATTTGCTATTAAACTGCCCTATTTGCTATTAAACTGTCCCTATTTGCTATTAAACTGCCCCTATTTCCTATTAAACTGCCCCTATTTCCTATTAAACTGTTCCTATTTGCTAGTAAACAGTCCCTATTTGCTATTAAACTGCCCCAATTTGCTATTAAGCTGTCCCTATTTGCTATTAAACTGTCCCTATTTGCTATTAAACTGTTCCTATTTGCTATTAAACTGTCCCTATTTGCTATTAAACTGCCCCTATTTGCTATTAAACTGTCCCTATTTGCTATTAAACTGTTCCTATTTGCTATTAAACTGTTCCTATTTGGTATTAAACTGCCCCTATTTGCTATTAAACTCCCTTTTTGCTATTAAACTGCCCCTATTTGCTATTAAACTGTCCCTGTTTGCTATTAAACTGTTCCCATTTGCTATTAAACTGCCCCTATTTGCTATTAAACTGTCCCTATTTGCTATTAAACTGCCCCTATTTGCTATTAAACTACCCCTATTGCTATTAAACTGTTCCTATTTGCTATTAAACTGCCCCTATTTGCTATTAAACTGCCCCTATTTTCTATTAAACTGTCCCTATTTGCTATTAAACTGTCCCTATTTTTCATTAAACTTTTCCTGTTTGCTATTAAATTATCTCTATTTGCTATTAAACTGCCCCTATTTGCTATTAAACTGTCCCTATTTGCTATTAAACTGTTCCTATTTGCTATTAAACTGTCCCTATTTGCTATTAAACTGTCCCTATTTGCTATTAAACTGCCCCTATTTGCTATTAAACTGTTCCTATTTGCTATTAAACTGCCCTTATTTGCTATTAAATTGTCCCTATTTGCTATTAAACTGCTCTTATTTGCTATTATACTGCCCCTATTTGCTATTAAACTGCCTCTATTTGCTAAACTGCTCCTATTTGCTATTAAGCTGTCCCTATTTGCTATTAAACTGCCCCTATTTGCTATTAAACTGCCCCTATTTGCTATTAAACTGTCCCTATTTGCTATTAAACTGCCCCTATTTGCTATTAAACTGAGCCTATTTGCTATTAAACTGCCCCTATTTGCTATTAAATTGTCCCTATTTGCTATTAAACTGCTCTTATTTGCTATTATACTGCCCCTATTCGCTATTAAACTGCCCCTATTTGCTAAACTGCTCCTATTTGTTATTAAGCTGTCCCTATTTGCTATTAAACTGCCCCTATTTGCTATTAAACTGCCCCTATTTGCTATTAAAGTGAGCCTATTTGCTATTAAACTGCCCCTATTTGCTATTAAACTGCCCCTATTTGCTATTAAACTGCCCCTATTTGCTATTAAACTCAGCCTATTTGCTATTAAACTGCCCCTATTTGCTATTAAACTGCCCCTATTTGCTATTAAACTGCCCCTATTTGCTATTAAACTGAGCCTATTTGCTATTAAACTGCCCCTATTTGCTATTAAACTGAGCCTATTTGCTATTAAACCGCCCCTATTTGCTATTAAACTGTCCCTATTTGCTATTAAACTGCCCCTATTTGCTATTAAACCGCCCCCATTTCCTATTAAACTGCTCCTATTTGCTATTAAAGTGAGCCTATTTGCTATTAAACTGCCCCTATTTGCTATTAAACTGCCCCTATTTGCTATTAAACTGAGTCTATTTGCTATTAAACTGCCCCTATTTGCTCTTAAACTGCCCCTATTTGCTATTAAACTGCCCCTATTTGCTATTAAACTGAGCCTATTTGCTATTAAACTGCCCCTATTTGCTATTAAACTGTCCCTATTTGCTATTAAACTGCCCCTATTTGCTATTAAACTGCCCCTATTTGCTATTAAACTGCCCCTATTTGCTATTAAACTGCCCCTATTTGCTATTAAACTGCCCCTATTTGCTATTAAACTGCCCTATTTGCTATTTAAACTGTCCCTATTTGCTATTAAACTGCCCCTATTTGCTATTAAACTGCCCCTATTTGCTATTAAACTGCCCCTATTTGCTATTAAACTGTCCTTATTTGTTATTAAACTGTTCCTATTTGCTATTTGTCTAGAATTTTCTTTGCCTTTCATTATTTTTCTAATACTACTATTTTAGTCTAGATTTTGCTAAATCTAAGTTATATTAAATTATTATATTGTGTGACAGATTCTAATGTTCTAAGCTCAGATTGGTTCTCTGAACCATTCATCTACAAAGCTCAGATTATATGGCATTTGAATAAGATTCCACTGTATTAGGATTAGATGTTATGGCATTAGAATTAGATTCTGTTACAGTGAGTTAAGATTCTGTTTGCCTTGAGAGAGAACTGTGTCACATATAACTTAGATCTTATATGTATGTATGTGTGTGTATGTGTGTGCGTGTGTGTGTGTGTGTGTGTGTGTGTGTGTGTGTGTGTGTGTAAGTGCAGGTGGTGTACGCAGCAGTGTTGCTTCAGTCACTAACACATACCACCTGGCAGTATAATACCCCACTGTGTCAGTGTTGAGGTGAACTGCTCCATCTTGCATCTCCTCACTCTAGTATAGAAATCAGGGACAGCAGTACATAGAATTCTTAGAAATTTCTAGATAATGTCACTCTGCATGTTAGATTTACATGTCAGATATGCCCTATAACATGCATAATCTCTCTAACGAATAATTTGCCCACTGGGCACGCATACCCACTATAGGGACACAAGTGGAACGGACTGGTGGCAGCACTGATGAACCACAGAGCAGACATGGCACTGAGTAGTTTCAAAATTAACTCTGAGAGGGAGAGTGTGGTTGACTTCACCGTACCTTACCTGGAGTCTGGGATAGCTATTGTCGTGGCCAAGAGGACTGGTATTATATCTCCCACCGCCTTCCTGGGTAAATAGTCCCTTGTGTTGACTAGTATTATGTCTCCCACCGCCTTCCTGGGTGAGTAGTCCATTGTGTTGACTGGTATTATATCTCCCACCGTCCTCCTAGGTGAGTAGTCCCTTGTGTTGACTGGTATTATCTCTCCCACCGTCCTCCTGGGTGAGTAGTCCCTTGTGTTGACTGGTAATATATCTCCCACCGTCCTCTTAGGTGAGTAGTCCCTTGTGTCGACTGGTATTATATCTCCCACCGTCCTCCTGGGTGAGTAGTCCCTTGTGTTGACTGGTATTATATCTCCCACCGTCCTCCTAGGTGAGTAGTCCCTTGTGTTGACTGGTATTATATCTCCCACCGTCCTCCTAGGTGATTAGTCCCTTGTGTTGACTGGTATTATATCTCCCACCGTCCTCCTAGGTGAGTAGTCCCTTGTGTTGACTGGTATTATGTATCCCACCGTCCTCCTGGGTGAGTGGTCCCTTGTGTTGACTGGTATTATATCTCCCACCCTCCTCCTGGGTGAGTAGTCCCTTGTGTTGACTGGTATTATATCTCCCACCGTCCTCCTATGTGAGTAGTCCCTTGTGTTGACTGGTATTATATCTCCCACCGCCTTCCTGGGTGAGTAGTCCCTTGTATTGACTGGTATTATATCTCCCACCCTCCTCCTGGGTGAGTAGTCCCTTGTGTTGACTGGTATTATATCTCCCACCCTCCTCCTAGGTGAGTAGTCCCTTGTGTTGACTGGTATTATGTCTCCCACCGTCCTCCTGGGTGAGTAGTCCCTTGTGTTGACTGGTATTATATCTCCCACCCTCCTCCTGGGTGAGTAGTTGCTTGTGTTGACTGGTATTATATCTCTCACCCTCCTCCTGGGTGAGTAGTCCCTTGTGTTGACTGGTATTATGTCTCCCACCGTCCTCCTGGGTGAGTAGTCCCTTGTGTTGACTGGTATTATATCTCCCACCGTCCTCCTAGGTGAGAAGTCCCTGTGTTGACTGGTATTATGTCTCCCACCCTCCTCCTGGGTGAGTAGGCCCATGTGTTGACTGGTATTATATCTCCCACCCTCCTCCTGGGTGAGTAGTCCCTTGTGTTGACTAGTATTATGTCTCCCACCCTCCTCCTAGGTGAGTAGTCCCTTGTGTTGACTGGTATTATGTCTCCCACCGTCCTCCTGGGTGAGTAGTCTCTTGTGTTGACTGGTATTATATCCCACCGTCCTCCTGAGTAAGTAGTCCCTTGTGTTGATTGGTATTATATCTCCCACCGTCATCCTGAGTGAGTAGTCTCTTGTGTTGACTGGTATTATATCCCACCTTCCTCCTGGGTGAGTAGTCCCTTGTGTTGACTGGTATTATATCCCACCGCCTTCCTAGGTGAGTAGTCCCTTGTATTGACTGGTATTATATCTCCCACCCTCCTCCTAGGTGAGTAGTCCCTTGTGTTGACTGGTATTATGTCTCCCACCCTCCTCCTGGGTGAGTAGTCCCTTGTGTTGACTGGTATTATATCTCCCAACCCTCCTCCTGGGTGAGTAGTCCCTTGTGTTGACTGGTATTATATCTCCAACCCTCCTCCTGGGTGAGTAGTCCCTTGTGTTGACTGGTATTATATCTCCCGCCGTCCTCCTAGGTGAGTAGTCCCTTGTGTTGACTGGTATTATATCTCCCACCGCCTTCCTGGGTGAGTAGCCCCTTGTATTTACTGGTATTATAAGTCCCACCGTCCTCCTAGGTGAGTAGTCCCTTGTGTTGACTGGTATTATGTCTCCCACCCTCCTCCTGGGTGAGTAGTCCCTTGTGTTGACTGATATTATATCTCCCACTATCCTCCTGGGTGAGTAGTCCCTTGTGTTGACTGGTATTATATCTCCCATCCTCCTCCTGGGTGAGTAGTCCCCTTGTGATTTACTGGTATTATATTCCCACCCTCCTGGGTGAGTAGTCCCTTGTATTGTCTGGTATTATTATCCCACCGTCCTCCTAGGTGAGTAGTCCCTTGTGTTGACTGTATTATGTCTCCCACCCATCCTCCTGGGTGAGTAGTCCCTTGTGTTGACTGGTATTATATCTCCCACCCTCCTCCTGGGTGAGTAGTCCCTTGTGTTGACTGGTATTATTCTCCCACCTCCTCCTGGGTGAGTAGTCCCTTGTGTTGACTGGTATTATATATCCCACCTCCTCCTGGGTGAGTAGTCCCTTGTGTTGACTGGTATTATATCTCCCACCGTCCTCCTAGGTGAGTAGTCTCTTGTGTTGACTGGTATTATGTCTCCCACCGTCCTCCTGGTGAGTAGTCTCTTGTGTTGACTGGTATTATATCTCCACCGTCCTCCTGGTGAGTAGTCTCTTGTGTTGACTGGTATTATATCTCCCACCGTCCTCCTGAGTGAGTAGTCCCTTGTGTTGACTGGTATTATATCTCCCACCGTCCTCCTGGTGAGTAGTCCTTGTGTTGACTGGTATTATGTCTCCCACCGTCCTCTGGGTGAGTAGTCTCTTGTGTTGACTGGTATTATATCTCCCACCGTCTCCTGGTGAGTAGTCCTTGTGTTGACTGGTATTATATCTCCCACCGTCCTCCTGGTGAGTAGTCCTTGTGTTGATGGTATTATCTCCCACTCTCCTGGGTGAGTAGTTCTGTGTTGACTGGTATTAGTCTTCCAGGTCCTCCGTAGATCTCGTGTAGACTTGGTTGATGGTATTATCTCCACCTTCTTCCTGGGTCAGTAGTCCTTGTGTTGACTGGTATTATATCTCCACGTCTTCCTGGGTCAGTAGTCTCTTGTGTTAGACTGGTTTATATCTCGACTGTCTTCCTGGGTCAGTAGTCCCTTGCGTTAGACTGGTATTATATCTCAGTGTCTTCCTGGGTCAGTAGTCCGTGTTAGACTGGTATTATATCTCAGACTGTCTTCCTGGGTCAGTAGTCCCTTGCGTTAGACTGGTATTATATCTCAGACTGTCTTCCTGGGTCAGTAGTCCCTTGCGTTAGACTGGTATTATATCTCAGACTGTCTTCCTGGGTCAGTAGTCCCTTGCGTTAGACTGGTATTATATCTCAGACTGTCTTCCTGGGTCAGTAGTCCCTTGTGTTGACTGGTATTATATCTGCCATTGTCTTCCTGGTCAGTAGTCCCTTGTGTTGACTGGTATTATATCTGTGTTACAAAAAACGCTATTGTAAAAGCTTAGAGATCTCCAGTGAATACTAGAAAGGACTGCCCTTCTAGCATCCAGCCTGTTACTGGGTTATCGTAACAAGTAGTCAGTATCCTGGTCCAATTATCCATTAGAATTCAGTATTATTCAATAGTGCTTCAGGATTACAACTGGTAGGCTACTAACTAGAGAAATTAAAATTTAATAAATTTATTAAGTATCGTCTAGAGGTATATCATCAAATTAAATTAATTTAATCAATTCAAAGAAATTAATAATAATCACTTCTCTCGTGTACAGTATTATTGTGCTGAAAGCACATATCACATTTATAATTCTTAAGTACCGTCTGGTACATTAATATTTAATAATACAATATACAAATAGGTTTGTGTGTATGTGTGTAAGTGCTCTAAGTAGTTCGCTATGTCTCACGACTCGACTAGACTTTAACCAGTGACTGACAAAGTCCTCTCATAAACTAAGCTCTTGACCAACTGGCAGTCAGAACAGTCTGCTTGAACAATAAAACGACTGATAAGCCGAACAACAATATAACAAGCAACTGCGACACTATCAGGAATAAGGAGATAATATAAAGACAGCTAGTAGGGACCATCAGCAGATCCTCCACAAGTCACAAAACTCCCATACTACTGAATCTAAGTTCAGCATAAGAAAATACCCGACTGTGATAATACACAGATACCAGTACAAATTAGGTCAGAAGCTACAGCTCAGGACCTGAGTTACTCAGAGTGTCTAAGCGACACAACCTCAGTACAACGTCAAAAATCACCAAGTCTATACAATATTCTGTGAACAGAGTCCCACAGAACCTACAAGAAAGCTAGAGACGATCTTCCTACAAGGGCCTATAAGGGAGATTTAGGCACTTGTCAGGGATACGTCCAACCACCAAGAGAGTCTAGACCAGACTGAATTCTTCAGGCGAGGTGAGGACACTCCCCCTCCCTCTATCATGTGATAGCTCCGTGGACAGCTGCAGCTCAGCAACAGAAGTCGGCAGTCTAACGAGCCACAAGCGATAATTACAGTAGTTAGATAATCAAGACTTAAACTATGAGCACATAATATAAGTGTTACATCCTACCTAACAACAGGTAACTAAGTCAAATAATAATATAAAGCAATATATTCACGATTTAGCTATTATCGCAAATATAAGCAATATAAAATTATATGAAAAGATAATATAATATATACATATACATAATAATCATTGCAACCCATTCAAGGGTTGCAACACACCCCCCCCCAACACGACAAGCGGTCGCACTAGGAGTTGCATTAATGTCTTTCACATTATTACTGATTACTCAGGTTACATTACTAACAGTTTAATATAAAAAAATATAAGAGTCAATCTTGTGCCAAGCACCTCTATAATTTCACAGCGTCTATACACTAAGATATGCCCCTAGTACTAGGGCAGTACACAGTATCGTATCTCTGCATACTCGTGGTTATGTACATCAGTGTAGAGATGGGATAACGTAGACAAGCATAATAGTCTTGTGCTATAGACAGGAGACAGCATTCCACTCTTAAGTAGTGGTTGTGGAATGCTATGTAGTATGGACATCTGAATATTAAACAGCTTAAGGTGTGTAGAGAGGGGGGGGGGTCTGCGGCAGGACAGTGTTCCGTAACGCAGTAACATCGCCTACACAACACTACCCACTCAACACTCAGCTTGTCTCCTCACACACACATCATCACTCCTGTGAATATATAAATAGATTAATTAGACATGAGTATATATAGTTAATATGGGCTGGAGGGATTAAGTTACTTTACTGAATTTGACATAGCAAGTAACAAAAGGTATTTGGGCATAAAATTACGTTAATTTAATGTAACTGATAATTATTAAGGACGAGACAGAGCGTCAGCAATTACATTACAATGACCACTTATGTGTTTTATACTAATAGAATAAGGTTGGATTCTGAGGACCCACCTCATGATCCTAGCATTTTTACTTTTCATAGTGTTTATGTAGGTGAGAGGATTGTGGTCTGAAAAAACGTTAATTTTAAATGGGGAAGTGCCCAAATACACGTCAAAATGTTCCAAGGACACCACAAGAGCTAGAGCCTCTTTCTCAATAGTGGCATAATTTTTCTGGTGTCGTTTAAGCTTAGATGAATAGTAACATATAGGATGGAGAATGTCAGTGGATGTTGACTGTTGGAGCAGCACAGCACCCACTGCATAACAACTCGCATCTATATGTAAAAAGAAGGGAAGATTGAAATTAGGACTCTTCAACACAGGAGTAGAGGATAGCAAGCGCTTCAACCTTTTGAACGAGTCTGAACAATCTCTAGTCCAGATGAACTGAACTTTGCTACTAGTAAGCTCAGTGAGAGGAGCTGCAATCTGAGAAAAGTTTGGACAGAACCTGCGATAATATCCTGCCATACCCAGGAATCTCTGTACTCCCTTCCTATCCTGTGGCACTGGAAATTCAGAAATTGCACGAACCTTAGCCTCAATAGGAGCAACCTCACTTTGGCCAATACAAAAGCCTAGATAGATAATCTTGGCTTGGCTAAAGTTGTAGTGCGCGAGTCTCTCAAACAATGCTCTGAGACGCGACAAGTGCTGTTCCCACTCGTCACTGTACACCACTAAGTCGTCAAGGTAGGCTTCTACTCCTTCTAAGTTGTGGGTCAACTCGTTCATTATACGCTGGAATGAAGAAGCCGCGTTACATAGGCCGAAGGGGGTGACGAGGTAGTTAAACAATCCATCTTGAACAGTAAAAGCAGATATTTCTTGAGCACGTTCAGTAAGTGGGACTTGATAATAGCCTCGTAAGAGATCTAAACAGCTGACAAACTGGGCTCCTGACACACGGTCAATAAGGTCGTCAATGCGAGGTAGAGGATAACCATCAGGCAAGGTGACAGAGTTCACTTTCCTGTAATCAGTGCACATCCTGAAACTACCGTCAGATTTAGGCACTAAAATACAGGGAGATGCCCATGGACTTTTACTGCACTCAATAAGTCCGTGAGATAACAGAAAATCAACCTCTTCTCTCAATGCTTTATGCTTCGTTGGACTCATCCTATATGGTGATTGCTTAATGGGTGATGCTTCCTGTACATCAACGTCATGTACACCCAGAGTACAACGTTTAGGAACATCACTGAACAATTCAGGGAAATGCAAAATCATGTTTTTAATATCACCAGCTTTATCAATCCCAAGGTTACTAAGAAAATCGTCTAGTGATTGTAGAGTCACTGAATTTTCTAAACGCACCTCTATACCTCTAGAGATGTCAGGTAGACTGACGTTTTCTTCCTCTGTCCCAGGAAGAATAGATGTAGTAGGTAGAGGACTAGCGTAGTATGCCTTAAGCTGGTTAACATGGTACACATGATTAGATTTCTTTTTCCCAGGCGTACGTACCAAATAATTTACGTCGCTAAGCTTTTTCACTACTTCCAGGGGACCATCATACCTGGCTTGTAGAGCATGACCTGGTACTAATTTCCGAGCCATCACCTTATCTCCTGCTTTAAAAAAACGAGAGACAGCAAGCTTGTCATAATGTTGCTTCATTCTAGCTTGGGCTGAAACTAGGTTTTTCGAAGCTAGCTCTCTAGCGGCTGTCAAATGTTGCTGCATTAATGAAGGTGAAGTACTCAATGATGGATTTGATTTTCCTGTCCACACGTCTTTTAACACTGCGAGAGGACCACGCACTTGGTGTCCGAATATTAATTCAAACGGACTAAACCCGAGACTTTCTTGCTCACTTTCTCTCATAGCGAACAGAAGAAAAGGTATACCCTCATCCCAGTCTCTAGAAAAATGTTCACAATAAGCTCTCATCATAGACTTCAGTGTCTGACGAAATCTCTCTAGAGCACCTTGTGACTGTGGATGATAACTGGTTGAAAGTACAGACTTTATTCCTAGGTGGGATGATGCTTCTCGAAAGATCTTAGAAGTGAAGTTAGATCCCTGATCTGATTGTATCTCTCGTGGCAATCCAACCTTGGAGAAAAATTTCATCAGCGCTCTCACAATAGCACGAGCATTAATTTTTCTCATAGGAATAGCTTCGGGATAGCGTGTTGCAGCGTCCATAATAGTAAATAAGTATTGGTTTCCTAGTTTGGTTCTAGGCAAAGGACCAACACAATCAATAATAAGACGTGAGAATGGTTCACCATGCACGGTGATAGGAATGAGAGGCGCAGGTGGAGGTGTGTGCGCTGGCTTGCCTGTCACTTGACACACGTGACAACGTCGCACTTGATCAGCTACTGTTTCCTTCATCTTTGGCCAAGTAAAATGTTTTGCCAGTTTACCGAGTGTCTTCTTGACACCCAAATGTCCTCCTATGGGACTATTGTGAGCAAAATCAATGGCTTATTCACGAATGTAACTGGTAAACAACTAGATGCTTGACTGTGGTGGAAACTATCAGCTGACAACTTACATGTAATTTTTCTCCATCAGTACACCATTACTATAACAGTAACAATTATCGAGATCCTTTGCTTCACTCTCAGTAACTGCTATATCTCTCAGTCTTTCCAGTGACTGATCAACAAACTGATCCTTGATTAAATCATCATGAATTAGAAATTTAACGTCAGTTGTGTCCTGACTAGGTTGATGACTGGGGGGAGTCAGTGTTAATGATCCTGGGCGCAGAGCGTCACTAAACAACATATTCAACCCAAATCATTGTCATCCACTAACTCAACAGGAGACAAGGATGGTTGTTGAATCTTTGACATAGCTCTAGTAATTGCGCTGAGAGGAAATAAAATAGGTTTCTCTCTACAAGCTTCAATGACATAATTATCATCAGTGTTATTATCAATCACAAGTGGTTCCTTACATATACCAGCATGAAGGATATCGTTCCCTATCAACAAGTCCACTGACCTGATGGAAATACACCACTGGATATACCCACTGAAATATAACCAGTATAATAGCTTGTTTCAATATAAACTTTGTGCAGAGGCACTTTTATAACAGCCCCTACATAGGCTTCTAACAATACATCTATCTTGCAATAGGTATCGTCAGTTATGGGCAGTACATCTTCTCTTAATAACGTGAGATAACTGCCAGTGTCTCTGAAAGAAATTATCTCAGTTAGATGTGATTCGTCAAATCCTACTTTACCTCTCGAAAAGTAAGGACTCATCGCTGAACGAATCTTTTCGTCAGATACACTTTCTGACGCTAGTCATCTGTTCTGAGTAATATTATCTAAAACAGTAGGATCAGAGGTATTGCTAGGATTTTGGTGCCTTTGTTGCTCGGAAGAGGATACGACTTGAGTGGGGGTGCCAGCCGCACGACTGCTTCTCGAATCTCTAACTTATAGCAATACTCTCTAGCATGTTCTTTTCTGTTACAATAGGTACATTTTACTTACTTCTTCTCGATATCAGATTTCTGTCTAGCCACAGAGACAGATTCAGGATTGTGAGTTTTTCTGGTAAAGGTACGAGAAGTTACAGTAGCAGGTACATCAGGCCGGCAATGAGCAGCTGATTTAGGTTGCCAACTTCTAGGACAACTTTTAGTTACCTTGTTTCTGTGTGTTTTAGTACGTACAAGTTTGTGAGAAATCTCGTAATTTTCTGCTAATGCTGCAGTTTCCAGAATATCCGAGGTAGTATGATCGATCAAATATTCTTGTATGTCAGCAGACATACAGTTGTTAAACTCTTCGGGAAGTAACAACTGAACAAGGCTGTCGTAATTGTTACACTTGGCAGACCTACACCATCTCTCAACTGCAACTTTTTTCTCACGGGCAAACTCTACACAAGTTTGATCTTGTCGTCGTTGTAACGTACGAAATGCATGTTGATAACTTACAGGCAACAAGTTATATGACTCACGAAATCGTAATGACACGATTGCAAACAAACCATACCCCAGCCGGGATTGAACCCGCGGTCAGAGAGTCTCAAAACTCCAGACCGCTGCGTTAGCCACTAGACCAGCTAACCACAATAAGATTCGTTCCTATGGTGTAGAAATATACCTAGTTGGACGAATCTTATTGTGGCTAGCTGGTCTAGTGGCTAACGCGACGGTCTGGAGTTTTGAGACTCTCTGACCGCGGGTTCAATCCCGGCCGTGGTATGGTTTGTTTAACAAGTTATATGTCTCTAGAATAGTTTGACAGCGTCATAACTAATGTACTTGGCAAATGGTAAAGCAGCAGTACAAGTTTGAGCTCTTCCTGTCAAAGCTGTGTGCAACAAAGTAGCCCAGTGCTTACGTGGCCAGTTCATGGCACGTGCCTGGTTCTCAAACACATCAAAATAGATGTCTAAGTCACTCTCAAAAAACTTAGGAACCATGGATGCAGCTTTCTGCACATTAAATGTGTCCTGTGATCTATCAGTCTGTTGTCTTCCAAGACGAACATTTTCTCTCTGGAAATCTTCTCCGTTCAATTTCCTCTGTGCCTCTATTTGTGCAGTCTGCAACATAATGAGGCGTTCAAATCTCTCAAACTGTTCCTGAGAGATAGGACCAGTGGGTAATGGAGGAGTAAGGAATCTAACGTGGTCTGGACGGTCCTTAGGTCGGACACCTCGTCCAGCCGTCCCTAGAGAGTTTAGATCTGGTCTAGGATAAGTAGATACAGGTGTGATATACACGGTACTAGTATGAGGCTGAGTCATACTATCAGTTAGGAGGGAAGGCGTGAGCGAGAACTGAGCTACACTAGGCTCAGACACTAGGCTCACTTCTGCCTTAGTTGCTCTTTCTTCTACGTCATCAAATAGAGTCATACTTCCTAATTGTGACACTAGGCTTTCTGAATCTGAATCATAATCAGACATCTCTGTATGAGCAGGAAACAATATAACTTTAAATTTAAAGCTCTGGGCCCGTTTCTGCGGTGGAATTCCTGTTATACGTCCACCCAGATTTTGGCCCACGGGGCCCAACCCCGTCTGAAATTTAATGTTCTTAAATCGACAAAAACGAGTATCAATTAACTTTTCACTTTGGGATACATCAGGAAAATAAATGTTCTACGAGGAGTGATTAAGGGAAAAAAATAATCCTTTAAAAGAAATTTTAGTGTTGGTTGTCCTTTGAGCTAGAGCTTATAAACCCGTATTTCCTCTCCCTGGAAACAAAGGACTCAGTCGGTACATACATTTCCCTCAGTTGTTGT